TAACTCATAACACTATATGTGTGACATGCCATAGGCAGGAAAAGGGTCCTCTGCTCTGCTTACTGACTACCTTAGACTAGGTCAACACTAGACAACAGTGACAGGACTAATGTCCCTTGTGGAAGAGACTGTTCCATGTGTTATGTCCTGTTCTGACATGAACCAGGTAAACTTGTTTTGCTTAGTGGGGATGTAATAGGTTGGCTGGTCTTATAAACATAAAACATAAGCTTATTTAACAGAGAAACACAAATGTAACTTAACACTGGAAAAAGTCAGGAAAATAACATATGTGGAAAATGTATTCACTACTCAAAAAGATGCAACTGCCAAACTACTTGATTCAGCCACTTATTGTTTGTTTCTTGAATCAATAGATCTAAAAATAATAAAATGTTTGCTGCAGGTTGGTACACTCCACGCATTACAGAAGTACTGCTGTAACTCACATTAACAATTCAACACAACATAACTTGAATAATAAAACCAGAACTCTGGAATCATATATAAATCACAGGAGCAAATCCCTGTACAGTTAGATCACTGTAAATGTTATATTTAATGGTTTCTGGTTATGCTATGGCCACAGCGCATTACTTGTCTGCTGATTTGATTGTGTGAAATTACATTACAGCAAATAAGACTTAATCATACATGTTGGAATCAGGGTAACCAACTCAAGCCATTTACAAATTTGTGTTTGGTCACACAACAACAGAACTGTAAATATGATGCAAATACAGAATTCCAAACACAGATGTCAGTTATGAAAGCAGCTTTATTTTACTCTCATCACTATGCCAGGCATTTATAGAGTACCTTGTGACAAAACTATTATAAATATCTATGATGTCATTATCACCATATTTATGACACCTGAGAAACTGATGTGTTCTTTATTTATAGGCTGTAGCATGTTTCTACAGTACTGACAATACCATGAACTACAGCACTGAAACTATCCTGAAGAATGAATGCATAATGCACTGATACTATCATGAAGAAGTGATGTGCGATGCACTGACATTATCATGAAAACTAATTTGTGATGCGATGCACTGACACTATCATGAAGAACTGATGAGTGATGCACTGATACTATCATGAAGAACTAATGTGTGATGCCCTGAAACCCTCCTTAAAAAGTAATGTGTGCTGCACTGACACTATCCTAAAGATGTGATGAGTGATGCAGTGACACTATCCTGAAGAACTAACGTGTGATCATTGACATCCTAAAAACGTGATGTGCGATGCATTAACACTATCACAAAGAAGTGATGTGTGACAGACTGACACTATCATTAAGCACTCATGTGTGATGCACTGACACTATCACAAAGAAGTGATTTTTGACACACTGACACTATCATAAAGAACTGATGTGTGATGCACTGACACTGTCACAAAGAACTGAAATGTGATGCATATACACTATCACAAAGAACTGATGTGTCATGCACTGACACTATCATAAAGAAGTGAAGTGTGATGCACTGACACTGTCATGAAGAAATTATGTGTGATACACTGGTTCAATTTTACATTTCAAGAATTTAGCAGATCTCTAAAGAGATGCCACAATAATTAACAAGTGATATATGCTACACTGACCCTATTTTAATTTCAAGAATTTGTCGATAACATTGAACTATTTTAAAGTACCGATATGTGATGCAGTTCCTTACTTTTACATTTGAACAATGTAGCATGTCTCTACAGCACTGAAGGAATAATGTGGGATGCACTGCAACTAACATGTGGAAATGATGGGTGATGCACTGCAACTAACATGTGGAAATGATGGGTGATGCACTGAAACTAACATGAAGAACTGATGTGTGATGCACTCAAACTACCATGAAGAACTGATGTGTGATGCACTGAAACTACTAGGAAGAACTGATGTGTTATGCAATGACACTGCCATGAAAAACTGCCGCGTGATGCAATGATATTGCCACGAAGAACTGATGTGTGATGCACTAAAACTACCACCAAGACCTGATCTGTGATAAATGACACGGCCATGAAAAAGTGATGTGTGATGCAATGATATTGCCATGAAAAACTGATGTGTGATGCAATAAAACTACATTGCGAATGAATGTGTGATGCACTGAAATGACCATGAAAAACTGCCCTTTAATACCCTGGTTCAGTTTTACTTATGCAGAAAGCAACATGTAGTTTCAGCACTGAAAGTGTAACGAAAAAATGCAGCAGGAAAAGTTGCAGTGAAACAATCACAACCTACCTACTACATAACCATAACAGCTGGGAACACTGTTGTAGTTAACAGTAAAATAGTTTTACTCAAAACTTCTGCTTATACTGTAACCAACAGAGATGCTTTCGAAACCATCACATTTCATGCCAAGGTATTCTCTCGATCTTGCCTTCAGACAGATCAACTTCTTTGGTTTTATCAACAATCACAACTCAACAGCAGCAAGGAATACAATGAACCTGGTGAAAACCCAAACCACCGTGCAATACACAATAGACCAGAAATTCATTATTAGCCAAGATCTGTGCACCGCTCTAATTTTTCCTCCCTAAAGGTCAGCCCAGCCCCACATAATTTGAGTGGTCAAAATGAAAAACTAATTATAATTTATAGATATCAAAAAGGATTGCCTTCTAAACTTGAGTATGAGTGAGTGAGTGGAGAGAGAGATGAGAGAGAGAGAGAGAGAGAGAGAGAGAGAGAGAGAGAGAGAGAGAGAGAGAGAGAGAGAGAGAGAGAGAGAGAGAGAGAGAGAGAGAGAGAGAGAGAGAGAGAGGAGAGAGAGAGAGGGAGAGGGAGGGGGGGGGGGAGTCTGTGAATATCAAGGGCCAATTAAATGTGTTCTGCACAACACCAAATGGAAAAGTCTGCTATAGACAATGTACAAATATATGACTTCATTTATTAAATTAAGCTGAGCACAACTTATGATTAATCTTATACCTCTTGAACTTTACAGTAAAGTATTTGACACAAAGCATACATTTCATTTTCTCATCATATGAGAAAGACCTTTCCACTGACAAGCTGACTTTTCATGAACTGAATCCAATGTGGATCTAGATTCCACTCCTTACTACTCTCAGACAGCACTCCTGTTTACACACACATATATTTCTATTTTATATATACATATATATAAGAATTAGAGTCAGAAATATGGATACATGATACTACTAAATGCAGTATGTGACTATACTTTAGAGGGAAATGGTGGATGGTATACACAACTTGGAATTTTTATTTACTTATTTGAGGTAACAGACACCTTCCTGGGCTTATCACATTAGTCAAGACGGCATGAATATGCATAACACTATGATCGCGCAAATAATATTGCTGCTGTCGACTGCAGAAAAGTGGAGACAACTGCTGACAATGGGAAGCTATTTGAAGAATTGCCTTTTCAATGGTTTCATTTCTGAAGTCATAATACTGTCCTGTGATTATACATGTAGCCATATTTCTGATTTACTTTGTTGTATATATAGTGTAATATTGCCTTCAAGCAGAAACACACACTACCAGGAGGAGGTAACTCAGTAAGATTGTGTCTGGCAAGTGGAGACAATTGGCAGCAGTTTCCTGTGTACCAGTCCTGTTTGAAACAACAGAAGGTAGCCATGGTAGCTGTGAGGAGATCAGTGTGTACACGCATCCAATTCACAATCAGACAAAAACAGAACAAAAAAACCCACACACAATTTTATCAGTAATGTCAATTTTTCTACAGATTTCTTTTTTTCTTTTCGCGTCTGGAAACAACAGTGTGCATCATGAGTAGTTCGCTGCTCCTAGTTAGATAAAGGTCACTGGGCCGGCTGAAAGCCTGTGGAAAGAAAAAAGATTAAAAAAAATGTTATGCTGAGAAGTCACAATACTTAAAAGTTAAAAGTTTTTTTTTAAACTAGATCAGAGCCCGGCGTTCCAGCGTAGTTGATAACGCGTTGGACGTCAGGTGACAATTCCCATGCATGTCCGGTCTGGGGTTCGAGCCGGGGGATGGCAGAAAAGCTGCATACTCGCCTGATTAACGGTGCACGTGGCACTGAGGCTGAAGTGCTTCAAAGCTAACGACACTGAGCTTTTCAAGCTATGCCTAAGTGCTTCTGGTTCAGAAAAATTAAATTATAATAATCAGAAAACACTTTTAGATGGCGAGTTCAAATACTATCGTATGTACTTATATATGGAGGGGGGGGGGGGGGGGGGGGGGGGGGGGGAGGGGGGGGGGGGGGGGGAAAAAAAAAGAAAAAGGGGGAAGGGGGGGGGGGGGGGAGATGTTACATCTACATATTATATTTCTGATGAAAGTCCTTACTAATTACTAATCATTACTTAAAATAGTAAATTATAGTTTTTTTTTCTTTGTTCATATTACGTCTTTATTATTAAAATTATAGTTCTTCCCTCATTCATATTAATTATTATTACCTGCTATGCAAATGATGGCTTCTGTATTTTTATACTGACACCATTTTCACTGCTAAAACATACAATAATTTCAGCTATAGTGCCCTACACAGAGATCCCACCTGCTACCTCAAACGGACAGCATCTTGCTGAAGAAACATTGCACTTGAATGGATCGCCAACTAGACACCCCTGAGGAGTATCTAACTGGTCTAGTTTCTTCAGGGAGGCAGTGTCATCATTTGCAGGCAAGTCAAACCCAAGAGCCATTTGGGTTAAAATGTGTCGTCATCACGAGGGCAATACATGACAACCAACTGGAGACACTTGAAAAAAACAATTATGGCATATTTCGTTTGTGCCAACTGCCAGTTTGTGAGCGGCAAAGAGCCGCCAGTTTGACATGCTTTATTTACAGGCAAGATCAATCAATCAATCAGGTGCCGTTTCCACAATGAAGGTTGGCTTCAATGGATCTCCAACAAGCCCTGTCTCTTGCCTTTGATGTACACTCACTCATATTGCTGTTCGTCCATCTCTTGATGTTATCCTCCCACTTGTAACGCTGTCTGCTTCTTGCTCGCCTACCTTGAACCTTTCCCTCTAGGATGATCTTTACAATACTGTTATGTCTTTTAATGTGGCCAAAATATTTCTCTTGTCTCTTTTTTATTTCACCTAGCAACTCTCTTTTCATTCCCAATTTCCTCAGTACCTCTGTATTTGATAGCTTTTGTTTCCATGTAATCTTCAAAGAATTGATACCATTTTCCAGTTGTTTGTTCATTGTCCATGTCTCTGTGCCATACAGTAAGGTTGAGAATACCAGGCAAGATCATTATACTTCAAATTTTTATATTTTTAGCATCTTCTAATCTCTACTTCTCCCCCCTCCCCCCTTTTTGGGGGGGTTTTGTTTTTGAAAACTAATATAGTAATTAAAAGCTTGGATTTACCTCTTCCCCGTGTGCGTTTCAGGGCCCTATTGTACTCTCCCCTCCCAATCCCCCTAAGCATTTGTTGGCTATGTTGTTTGATTATGAAATTTTTTTTCTTGTAATCTCTAGACAGATTTTCAAAAGCCTTACTCTTAAGCTTTATCCTTCAGATCATAGCAAAAAATTAAGTGTGGATACACTAACTATACCTGTGCCCATACAAGTAACTTAGATTTGAGAAAACATATAGAATGACTTGATTACCTAAGATTTAGAACAAATAACTTTACCCCCCCCCCCCCCCCCCCATTTGCCCTAATTTCTGGAAATCATATAAATATTAATTGTGCCAAGAAGATTATTATATTAAAGTTGGGTTATATCAAAAACAAGTAGCCATTCAGCTACTCTGGTACTTCTGCTGGGTTCCCCTATGGTTAAACAAACAAGATGCAGTGAATTTAATATTTGCATGCAGTTATGTTAGTTATAACGAAGGAATGACTTCCCTTTGTCTATGAGGACTAAATCAGTCCATTAACTGAAAATTAGTTTTACAAATGTAGCACTCCAGAAAGAACATTCTTATTTCAGACAAAAGAACTTGACAGGTCAGAATTGTGGAATCCCCCCCCCCCCCCCCCCCCCCCCCCAAAAAAAAAATTTCGTTACACACAGCTGATGTAATTATGGGGTTAACTTAACAATCCAGAGAAATCTCAACTACAACATAATTTGATAGCAAATCTGGCTTTCTGTGGTCAGTCAAAACTTTTGATCACAATGTTTATGTACACCAGAGAATTTACAATCCTTTCAATGTACACACAGCAACCAGTTACTCTCTTGTAAGAGAGTAACTATAAATGGATTTTTTTTTAAATTAGAAATTAGAACGGTGTAATCTTGGATTAGCTCAGCTGTTTTCTTTCAAGAAACAACTCAAGGGATAAATGAACCACCAACTTTGACAATATTAGAAGAACATTCAGTCAAGAGAGGAAGGCAGTTAACAGCTCCATAAAGGGCTCAAGGGCAATAGTCAACAAACATCGAACAGGTGTCATCAGTTAAGAGATTTACGGGATACACTCAGGAGTAGGGCTGTTACCGTGGTGCAGTGGTTAGACACTCAGCTGTGGATCCAAAAAGCCTGGCTTTTTTTTTTTTTTAATGATCTTGGCTACCAGGTTGGTCCAGCTTTAAGTAGGCACCAGGTAAAATCCTGGGAAGTAAAGGTGGCCAACCACATCCCCCATTGAGTGTTTACTGGTCTATAAAAACAATACAGGTCTAGCACTTTGTGCTGGATGCACTAAAGGTGTAAAAACAGCCTTTCAAAATAAAAATAAAAATGTTCGAGAAGTCTACTTGAGATGTCTCTGTTTTTCTATCTATGTTATTTATTTATGAAGCTTTCAACCAGGTGTTTATTAATCTGTGAATGAGTAAAATGCTGTTAAATGTATAAAGTGGTTGGTTAAAAAAAAATCCCTGTCACTAGTTTGAGAACAGTATGTCCAAGTTGTCAGTGAACAAGAACAGCAAGCAAGACAATTAAATCAATGCACTCACTCCACTGGATAATTATTGGAACGCAATCTGTAGATGAATAAATGTCTACATGAAGCGCACAGGTCAATTGGCCAAGACTCCCATTTTGTGGCATGTGGTAACTGGAGCCTTTAGGCGTCCTGGGCAAATAGGGCTAGACCTATATTTTTTCATCATCTCGGCCATGTGGTCAACATCAGGCCGGCCGCTTTTACTTCCCAGGACCGCACCCGGTACCCACTCAAGGCTGGGTTGACCTAGGAGGCAAGGTCCTTTCTGTCAAAAAAGTCTGATCCTGTTTGGACTCGAACTCATGACTTCTGGATCTGCATATGATTATCTAGCTGCTAGACCAGTGTGGCACATGGTTCTAGGCTAGTGCTGTCTTGACCAAATGCCACACAGTACACAATATGGTCACTACCATGCAGGAAAGTTATGGTCAAGAAAAATGTACGGTACCCAATTTCTGGGAAGATAAAAATGGGATGAATTCAAAATAGGAGAAATGTCTCATCAACTGCTAATACCAGAAGTTGTATAATAACAGAGAAGATGGCATGACATTGGATACATCCTCACAAGAAACCAGCAGAGAATCACCAAAAAGGCATTAAAAGGGGAAATAAAGAGATTAAGAAATGATGCCCAGAAAAAACAACCTAAGATGAATGTTGACAAAAGAGGCCAAAGCTGCTGGACTGGATTCCATCCATTATATTGAACTGATCGCACAGGATAGAATGGAATGGAGAAACAGACTGTGAGCCCTATGTGCCAATTTATGATACAACAGGATAAAGAATGAAAAATGTATGGGACTCAACTTTGGTCATGCTCTTAATCCACTGTGGACCATAAATTGGGATGTCATCTCAAGGTATTAGCTTAGCCCCCCCCCCCCCCCCCCCCCCCCCCCCCCCCCCCCCCCATGCTCTTAATCCACTTGTGAGACACCATTAAATTGGGATGTCATCTCAAGTATCTTAGGCCCCCCCCCCCCCCCCCCCCCCCCCCCCCCCCCCCCACCCCCCCCACCCCTCCCCCCCCCCCCCCCCCCCCCCCCACCCCCCCCCCCCCCCCCCCCCCCCCCCCCCCCCCCCCCCCCCCCCACCCCACCCCACCCCCCCCCCCCCCCCCCCCCCCCCCCACCCCCCCCACCCCCCCCCACCCCCCCCCCCCCCACCCACCCCCCCCCCCCCCCCACTCCCCCCCCCTCCCCCCCCCCCCCCCCCCCCCCCCCCCCCCCCCCCCCCCCACTCCCCCCCCGCCCCCAAATCTTAGTCGTCAGGTCTACTGGGCATGGTGGCCACACGTTGCTTTGTAGCTTCTCCAGTCAAGGACAGCACAGCTGGTTGGACACCCCCCACCCCCACCACAGCCAAGATTGCAGCAAAATCATAATCACAGACATCTGCTGTAACGACAAGTGTAGGCTTTCTGTTTTGCCACCCCACATGATCTCCAGGAGCATGGATCAGATCTTTGTTTTTGTCTTGTACCCATCTATATGGCTAATCCATCTATCTCCTATTTATCTCTTTTCCTTCCTCTTATAGCAAAACAGTCATTGTAACATGTTTTCATTGGATGAAGTCAAATGTAATTAGGAAGGAGACTATCACTTGGTCACATAAACCTGATGGCTGTAAATGTGACATCATCAGTTGTTGTGCACATGATTTCAGCCATATCTGCTTTGTTGCACAACCCATATCTGTCAACTGCTGTCAGCAAGTCACAACAATCTGTAACAGCATTAACACTCTAGAGCACAACTTTCCAACCTGTTCATGCTTGTGACCTATTTTTGCTGAGAAAACTTCAAAACAAAATAACTAGAAGAGCTTTATACTGGAACTCAAAGGGGCAGAGAAGGTAGACACACACACACAAATAACATGAAAAACAGAACGAAAGACTG